AACTCATAGCAACCCTATAGGACAGAGTAGAACTGCCCCATAGGGTTTCCAAGGCTGTAATCTTTATGGAAGCAGACTGCCACATCTTTCTCCCGCAGAACAGCTGGTGGGTTTGAATCACCCACCTTTCGGTTCGCAGCCGCACGCTTTAACCACTGCGCCACCAGGGCTTGACTATAGGACCAAGAAGATTTAAATATCAACAGTAAGACAAAACAAATGCATGGTTCATAAACGCCAATTATAAACTGGTCGTGTCCAATTTCTTTTGATGAACTAAAAAAAAAAAGTTCACTTTCATAACTGCTACTTAAGGAATTTCTTCCAGCTTCCTTTCATCTTGTTTGTCTTTGCTAATGTTGGAAAAGCATAAAGAATATACTGTCTCTACTCACAGTTACACTGGTCACATACGTAGATTTTTCCTTCTAAAGCTTCAGTTTCTGTGAATTTGGCCAACATTTCAGTAACCAGACATGGCTGAAAAGCAGTATCTTTTCCACTGCACTGGTATCTTTCTGGAAATTCCAATGACAGGTCCCAGAAAGGCTCTATAGTATTTGATTTATTGTCACATGCAAGACATGTAACCTGCAAATAAAAATATTAGTATCTGAGATTATAATCCTTCCATCAAAACATCTACTTCTTTCGCTAGAGGTCATAGCCATTAAATAAGCTTTTCTTCTGAAAATGCACCATTAGAATTCTGAATAATCTTGTTATATTACTGTCAGGAAATTAAAAAAATTGTAATTTTCTTTTCCAAAAGACTGTCATTAAAGCCACTATGAACTAGTGGGCTTGTACTGCTGGGAACTCAAAAAGCTCCAAGGGCATTAGTCAAATCTAGAATTTAGGTAAAAATCCAAACTGCGGGCTCATTTAATAGATACATATTATGTATATATATTACATACATGTATATGCATTTAATGTGTCTAAGTCATTAGGCTTAAAGCTCTTTGTCCTTTTTTCTTCCTTATCTTTCACTGACCTTTTTCTCTCCCCAAATCCCTATAACCTTTAACCAAATCTACCTTCTTAACCATGATACAAGAAAAATACTATCAGTATGTTTTCACTGTGCAGATTTTGAAGCCCTACCAACTACTAATTTCAAAAGCTAACTCATTATAACAGATAAGTACCCGTACCTTTCTGTATTAAAGCACCTCCTGTATTAAAGTGGGGTCATACTCCCGCTTAAAGCAAACATCACTACATGAAAATCCCCATCCATATATAGGTACCACAAAGAAAATGGGCAGTTATAACAACTTATATATAGCAACTAGAAAGGGAAAGAATAGTAACTTTAGTGAAGCATTCAACAGGACTTAATGCCAACAAACACTGCACATGATTAAAGGCAAACTCTATACAGCTAACAATCCATACATGCAACACAATATGAAATATTACAAAGAAGATCTTTCATCCAAGCTGCATATCTGGCACAGGCAGCAAAACAGTTCTAATCCAGATTATAGATATTACAAATTGACACAAAGAAAAGGATACTCCCGTTGTTTAGTCTGGGGACTCAATGAGGGCCTGACCTTTTGAGAATAGTTTCTTGAATTAAAAAAAAAAAAAAAGCCATTCCACTAACCAACTGTCTGAATCTCCTGAGATAGCCAGTTGCTTAAGAGTTTATTTATTGTATGTTTAAAAGGAAGAGAAGCAAAAAAACAGCATAACAATTTCTACTGATTTCAAAATTCATCCATAAAGGAGAAAACAGGCACAGAGCCTCTCTCACAGTTAGAAAATGGAACAAACTTTCTGGAAAAAAATTTGTCACCAAGTATCATAAGTCCTACCTTTTAACAAAGTAATTCTACTTCTTAGACTGTTAAGGAAATCATTAGGAAAAAAAACATTGATGATATTACAATAATGGACAAAACTGCAAATAATCTACAAGTCAACAATACATTATCGTATGTACATATGATTACACTGAAATGTTCTGGAAAGAGTTATTACATATTTTTAATGCTGTGGAAAATCCTTACAGTATTAAATGAAAAAAGCAGGTAAATGAAACATGACCGCACAATTAGATATTTCCCCCAACTGTGTGGAGATTTATATATACCAAAATATTAACAGTTTTATCTATGGGTTGTGGGGTTATGGAACTAAGGAATGATTTTTCTTTTCTTCTTATACATTTCCTGTATTACATATGTTTTCTACAAGTATTAGTTTTATAAGTATTATTTTTATTTATAATAGTTAGTTCAAACTTTTGCATAGAAAAAATAGAAATGACACAAAATAATGGTAGAAAAGTAAAACTGCATGTAACACAAAAAGTACAATACTTATTAAAGCTTTCAGACTTCGCCCCCTTTGGCTTTATAGGAAGTCTTCCAGGGCTACTCCCTGGTCCCAGAAATTACTCAAGTGTGCACCATATCCATTCCCAGTACATCTTCAAATCTGTTCCCTCTGAGATTAAACCCTCCTCTTCTCAATCCTTCTTCAGAAAATGAATGTAGTATTACTAACCTAGAAAGCTGTTTCCAGAACTTCCCTCCCAGCAAAAAATTTTGATACCATGGATGCTAAAACTTTCAATGATTCATGAAGGAAACAATTATAAATGAATTAGCTGACGCCTTTATACACATTTATAAAAACAATCCATTCTGACCTGAAAACGGTACTAATTCTAACATACCAGATGCACAGAAAATATGCATTTTAAAGGCTTCACTTTGTGAACTACCCAAGATGAAAATAAAATTTTAAAAACTCCATACCTGACTAAGAAGTTGTCCATGAAAAATGTTATTCACAACATTCAGAACCTGTTTGATAAGTTTCCTTTGAGAAGTAGGGATAAGAGTGGGTAACCTGGTACCAGTTGTCTCTAGTTCATGTTGTATTTTGTCTAAAAGTTCACAGAGAAATTCCTGAGCATCTTGTTGCGCATAACCCCGAAAGGAAGGGATTAGTCTCCATACTGAGTGTAGCATAGCAAATGGTGAGACCAAGGCCCACTTTCCAGACCACATGACTTGGAACAAAGTATGCAATTCATGACAAAGAGAAATGTACTGTGAACTTGGCTCCCTTGGCTGAATAAGTTCCATCTTTTTACTCTTTGATGCTCCACCACTTAGTCCTGATGATAAACTTGGATGTCTGGAGCAAACAGAGCCTGTATCCTTTTCTTGGTATTCATTTATTTGAAACACAGTATCTGTGACTGGGAGAGGCTTATAAGAAGCTCTTGTCTTATCACTAGCAGTCACAGCCAGCCATTGGTTCAGATCAAGCTTTAAAAAACATTGTCGAAAAATAAGTAAATGACTCAAAACTTGAAGAACAGAATTCATATAGCAAGTATTTCCCAAATTTCTCAATCCTGTTACACCGGGAGTTACTATCAGCCTTCGTTTAATTGAGGAGTCACTGACATTTCTACATCTTACAAATTCTGAGGTAGATACTACTTTATCTTTTGCTGGTGATGATGGAGTTTGTGGTGGTACTTGAACAGAAATTATTTCTACTGTGGTGGACTGAGCTAGACCTTGCAAACGTAAACTCTTTCTTGGAGGCATAATTTCCAATTCTGCTTTAATTTGATACTCTAATTCTTGCTGTCTTCTCTTCACTTCCCTTTTTGCTACTATTTTTTCCTGAAATTGTTCTTGCCTTTTTCTTCCGGTGGGTAATTGTTCAAACCAAATTCGAAAGATTTTACCCATTAGCATCCTTCTCCTGTGCCAAAGAGCAGTATACATTTGATCTTCATTTTGAAGCAGAGATTGGGCACCATCATATAAGAAATAAGAATCATCATTTGTACCCACAGACCGTAAAATCCTTCCACTACGAGTGGTGCAGTGATAATTTTGACTTTTGATTGCACTTAATGTACTTCGTAGTAATTTCAGTTCTCCAGCTGCATTATCATTAAGAACATAATCGTCACAAAAGTAACAAAAAACATACATCTCATTCACCTCCAACGCAACAGGATGACTGCTATCTTGAAAGTGCTTGAGTGCGTGCTCTTCGATATATCTTCCACAGGCAACATGAGAACAGCTAAGGCAAGCCCAAATTGACTCAGTTGTACTGCAGTCCACACAATGCCATTTCTGAGGGTTGAGTATGGAATGATCTTGAGCAAGCCGCAATTGCCCAACGTGTTTGCACTTATCCATTGTTAACATTTATTTAGTTTAGATGAAAAATACATAATCCAAACAAGTCTGTTCGTAACACTTGAAGCATCTGAAAAGTAAGCAGAACGATGTCAACTTTTAATAATATGAAAACAAGAAGCCAGTATTTTTCTATTTTATAAGGTATTTTCCAAAGAATAATGTGATGAATTTGTTCCCTTTGCTCCCAATTTCTGGACTGCTTGTCATACTACCATAGGCAATCATCACTTTTCCCTTGCTCTAGACTTCCACACTTTGTCTGATGGGTCCCCTTTAAAAACTTTTTAAATTTTCTGCCCCCACCTAGTGGTGAAGAATGGGTAGCTGCAGACCACTTTTCACTGTACTAGAATAAAGATCCCTCCATTTTACCCAATAAAGTCTGAGGGCAGTTTGCAAAACTACATTCCTTTTCTTAAAAAATTGGGGCTGGAAAGACCAAAATATATCTCAATAATATTTACAAAAATTCTGAGAACCCCATGTGGAGTTAATAAAACATAATCACAGTTAAAAGCATGGGTTTTGAAAAAGACAGACTTAGGTTTGAACTCTACCTCTATCACATACTGTTAGCTGTATGTGATAAATTCTATAAACATCTGTAAAATAGGGAACATCATACCAACTTCATTGAATTGCTGGAAGGATTGAGAGAACAAAGTATCTATCTGACACACAGTAAACAATAAATAGTAGCTATAGTAGTAGCTATATCTGAACAAATCATATTATTCTAATCACCATTAAACTTGGCTTTCCATTTAGTAGATCAATAAATCCAAACCCACTGCTGTCAAGTCAATTCCAACTTATAGCGACCCTACAGGACAGAGTGGAACTGCCCCATAGGGTTTCCAAGGCTGTAAATCTTTATGGAAGCAGACTGCCACATCTTTCTCCCGTGGAGTGGCTGGTGGGTTCAAACTGCCAAACTTACGGGGTAGCAACTGAGCGCTTTAACCACTGAGCCACCAGTGCTCCTTAGTAAATCAATAATTAACTTTAATTCATGGCTCTATAGCTCACTCTGACTTGACACTTGACAATTTGCCTTTGGAAGAGAAAAAGGTAGAAGAGGCTGTGCTTTTGTGTTTGAATAGATTCTCAGGAATGTGCAAGGATGCGTAAGTAAATAAAGAGAAAAGAATATGAAGTAGATGGCAGCACAATGAGCTTTTAAATTTTAGCAGACCTCAACATTATTTGAAATTGTAAGCTTATTCTTAAAAAAAAAAACAAGGCTATTTTGACCCAGAATTTGCTCCTTTATCCATTAGTCAGGAAGAATTCTGCTTCAAGTACTTAAAAATGGTGAACAGAAATCTAGTTAAAATTAGTGACCACAAAACATTAACCTCATTGATTTAACGTAAGTTGAACATAAATTTCAGGTTGCAAGTGGGGACCTAGTTAGAAAACACTGAGTACATTGAGTGCAGCATAATCAATGCTTTAAATTTTTAGGGCAACAAGACAATATGATTTTCAATGGTACCTGCAGGTATCACCTTCAGGGCTCTAGTTAAGTTTATTGTTGGTTCTTTTCCAACTCTCTTTGTAAAATCTCCCAGCTTTCAGAGTCTCTCCTTCCTTAATTTTTAGATATTGGGTCTCCTGAATATGGACTAAAGAATGACTAGTCCCAACTCTCACACATGTGCACATATTTCAACTGCATGGTTTAAATTTACTTCTCTTCCCTCAAAATTTCCTGAGGTCCAAAATCTGTCCAAATATAGTGTTTTATTAAAACTCCTAGAATTCAACAATAGTTGCTAATGGCAAAATTGTGACATCAGTGATTAATATACTCCGTTATAACACAGCCTTCCAGGTATTCAAGCCAAAAACCTTGACTCCTACACTCCTCTCTTTCTCTCACTCTCCACACCAATCCTTCAGGAAAAACTGTTGGCTCTCCCTTTAAAATATATCTAGAATCTGACTACTTCGTACTACCACCCTGGTCCAAGCCACTATCAAATCTCACTTGGATTACTACAAAAAGCCTTCTACATGGTCTCCCCACTTCTATCCTTACTGTGACCAAAAGTTTACTCTCAACAGAGGAGCAGCAGTTTGCCTTAGACCTAGACCTGACACTTTAGGAGGCCACTGCTCTGACCCTCCTCTATTAATATGGAGTCTAAAAGGCCAAGGGGATGTGTCCACGTGGAACCTATACAAGCCCTCCTCTAACTCCCTTACTCCCTATCTAGACCCACTCTCTGGTACCTGAGATTTCGAGAAGTCCCTGCCCAATCATCTAAGCCTGCCTCTAAGGCCTATGGGCAATAAAAAGACCTGAAGAATTCTATAGAGAATGAATGACATGACTAGATTTGAAAGATACAGAGGAATATGAATGGCAAATAGATCTGGAGGAGGGATGAGTGATTAAAAGAGATTCTAGTAGTCCAAGAAGTCTTGGTGGCACAGTGGTTAAGTGTTTGGCTGCTAACCGAAGAGCTGGTAGTTAGAATCTACCAGCCGCTCCTTGGAAACCCTATGAGGCAGTTCTACTCCACCATGAGTTGGAATCTACTTGACGGCAATGGGTTACTAGTCCAAAGATTATAAAAAAATTAAAGTTGTAGCAGTGTTGAAACAAAAAGGAGCAGAGGTAGAATTAGTGCTTAACAAACATTGGTTGAAAGAACCGATTCAATTTCCAGGTGAAGGAAAGAATTTAGGGCTCTCTTCTACTTTTATTCAAAATGGACCATATGCAGAGATAATTTAAACATATGTTTCTGGAAAATCAGACAATAATTATTAGTTCAACCTCCTTGCAGAGATTAATGACAAGGGAAATGCCATTTACTTACACTCAAGAAAAATTATGTCATTCTAAAGTTTTATAGAGGTGGTATGAGTTGATAACCTTACATACAACATTCACAAAAATCTCAACAGAAAAAAAGTCCAGAAAGAATATAGAAATTATTGTACTATCTTTTTATTAATCTACTTTCACAATTTCAAAAGTAATGAATATATTACTTGTGTAATAAGTTTTAAGTAAAAATAGCTCAGATAGATAGTGCTAAGTATGTGCAAAATTATATACTACCTCTTTAGTCCCTCCTCCTCTATTTTGCAAACACATTCTCTTGGTTACAAGGAATTTGTCTATTTCATTGCAGTTCTTTTTTTTCAATTGTTCTTTAGATGAAAGTTTACAGAGCAAATTAGTTTCTCATTAAACAATTAATACACATATTGTTTTGTGACATTGGCTGCTAACCCCACAACGTATCAGTACTCCCCTTCTCAACCTTGGGTTCCCCACATCCATTCGTCCAGCTTTTCTGTCCCCTCCTGCCTTTTCTTCCTTGCCCCCGGGCTGGTGTGCCCATTTAGTCTCGTACACATGGTTGAGCTACATGTACTGTTTATTTTATGGGTCTGTCTAATCTTTGGCTGAAGGGTGCACCTCAGGAGTGACCTCAGTACTGAGTTAAAAGGGTGTCTCATTGCAGTTCTTACTTAAAAAATCTATTTAGATGATGGCAGGGTCCTTGACTTTCAACAAGAACTGACATCTATAACTGAACGGCATGGTTCCATTTCGTACAGTACAGACAGTACCTGGATTACGAACGAGTTCTGTTCCTAAATCTGTCTTTAAGTCCAATTTGTACATTTAAGTCAAAACAGTTAGGTACAGTTTGTATCTAATGTCAGTTAGTCAAATGTCTCAGTATATACTGTACCTTTCTTTGCATAAAAAACATTAAACACTTCCAGATACACTAAAACATCTTTAACATAATACAGTAATAATAATGTTTCAAAAGTAGCACCCATTTTTTACTATGTACCTCAAATTTTTAATATAATAGGCTTTACAGGGGTTGGTTTGTAACTACAGTTGTACATACATTGGACGTTCATAACCCAGGGATTGCCTGTATTATGAAAAGAGTAACTGCTGATCAGAAGCCATCTCTGTAAGGCATTATTGCAGGGTGAAGATATTACAGCAAAAATGGTTAGAGAGCACACATAAATGCCTGAATTTAAAAACCTGGAGGTATTTACTATGTGACCAACCAAACCAAACCCACTGCCATCGAGTCAATTCCAACTCATAGCGACCCCAAAGGACAGAGTAGAACCATCCGACAGGGTTTCCAATGAGCCAGGAACCAATTATGCTGCATGTACTTCAGTTTTCTTATCTGAGAAACATAATGGTCATATATATACCAAATAATAATACTACTGAGCTCACAGGGTTGTTGGAAGGCTTAGACTGTACTTGTAACCACTTAGAACAATTCTTGTCACTTAATAATATGATACTCAGTAAATCATAGCTGCTATTATTGTTGTTGCTAGTTTCCTTCTGGCTTCTCACTTTCCCCAGACATTTATCCAAGGGTCTATTCTTCTCAGCCACATGTGTACTACTAAGCCTAACTAAGGTGCTAACTGATAATTAAGATGATAGCTGAGAACTAAGGTCTGACCTCTCCCAGGAGTATTTGCATTTTAAAAGGGGTCTCTCAAAGATAAAACATTTTAAAAATCCAAAGAAGTGAAGCCAGAATGGTGGAATGACAGATTATGAGATTAATATTTTAGGGAAGGGGGCCTGCTTACCCTGTCTACTTATGAAAAAAAAACAGCCCCAGCAATGATGTCCAGAGAATAAAGAAAGCTCAAACACACGGAGTAGGGGGTAGGGAGCGGACGACCCAGTGAAGGGCAGGGAGGAAAGCAGCAGTTAGAGGCCAGGCTGTGGCCTGCTAGCCACCAGAGGTCTTCAGTTTGCTCCACTGCCTGAAGGCCAAAGTTTAGAGCCGTACTTAGGATGTATCCACAAAGAGGCCTCATCATACAAAGATCTAAAAGCCTGGAGGAAAAGAAAGGGGGTGGGAGTATTTTCTTGACACTTCCTATTTTCTTCCTCTGGGTTCAGAGCGCTTCTTTTCATTTGCTAATCCACTGCTGAGAAGCTATGTATCAACTCTGTTTGGCTCCAGCAGACTGGATACATGATTTTTGGCAGTATATTCATTTAGAAGAGACAGGGCTTTACAAAAGCAATCCCCATGC